TTTTTTTTTTCCAAAGAAATTTTGTATGGATTTTTATCTCAGTTGAATTTAAAGATCCATACCAAGATATTATATGAGTTCAATTAGCTGGGCTAGAGGGTATAACTACCTAAACTAGAGGTAATTTATGGATTTAATTACCTGGGCCAGAGGTAATTTATGAGTTTAATTACCTGCATACTGCATACGAGGAGTTTAATTACTTGCACACTGGATACGAGGTGTATGCATAGGTATCGTACCTATTGTTAAGGTATGAAGTTTTTATGAACTCTTATTACAAATTTTGATGTCGGTATATCTTGGGAAAATTTCAGAATTCAATAAATAAATTTGCAATTAAATTCAAATCAAATATGATAATTAATATCCTACAAATCAATAACTTACCAGTTTTAGGAATTCATAATTTACCTTATTTATGTTTTAGGTGCATAATTGGAACAAAAAATATAAAATATAAAAAAGTAAATATCAATAAATTGAAATATGCATGTAATCTTATGTAGCGCAAAAGTCAAAGAACTTGGATCAACAACAATTTCTGCGTGGATTGCACCCAAAATCTCTCCTCATAATTGGACTTATGCCAAATTTTCTAAAAATAAAAAGAAATGAGATAGTTTTAGTTTTTCAAAAATATTAGAATTTTATTTATTTTTAGGCTAAAATTCTTAATTAAAATTAAATATTAAAAAAAAAAAATAGTCCGACACAACACTAAACATAAGTCTTCACTATTTTTACAATCCAGTTTCTTAGTCTGACGCAACACCAAACGTAGGTCAGTACTTAATCCGGCTTAGTCCAATCCGAGCTAATTCAAGACAGTCCTAAGATTTAATCCGGTCCATAACAGTCTGCCATACCAAACGACCCCTAAACATTACTAGCCCCTTGACACATTACTTTAATTAGATTTTTGTTGTTGTTTATATATGTTTTTTTAATCTTCAAAATTAAGCTTTATAACTCATCCAAAATGTTCTACAGTTTCGGAGGGGGTTTATCTCCTAATTTTATGGGCTAATAATGCTTTTTTTTTCTTTCATTTTTTATTCAATTAAATTTAAACATATTGTAAATATACTAATTTAATCTCATTTTAAAATGTTTTATGTCTTAACATTTTTATTAACTAAGGTTAATATGATATTAAAATTATGGATAAGATGAGAATTTTATGGTATGATATATGATGATTTTTTTGGGGGGAGCATCTGTAACCAACCGATTTGCTTTACGTTTTCAATGACAAGAAAGTGCTGTGGATATTTAGCAATTGCGACGTTATCATGAGCTAAAGGCCATCATGCATATTGTTAATATATAGGGACGGACTCAGGATTTGAAAATGACGTGGGCTAAATTTACCTTTATGTACAACTTATTGAAAACTTGACGGTAAGAATGAATTTCATTGATAACAAAAAAATTCATAAGAGACATAATAAGCCTTACCCCCCAAAAATCCTGTATCCGACATCGTTATTAAAATGAAGGGAAATTTGCATAAATACCACCTGAACTTTTAGGTATGTGCGTCATTACCACTTGAACTTTTAATTTTTAATTTTAACTACCTGAACTTTGTAAAGTGTTGTAAACCAACACCTTTGTCTAACTCCGTTAAAATTTCCATTAAATTTAAGGGTATTTTCGTCAATTAACTATAACTAAAAAGAATTACAAAGAAACAGAATTTAAAAAATAAAATTAACCTAATTATACGCATTACCCTAAACCCTAAACCCTTCCCCCCACTACACCCGACCACAAACACTTTGCTTTTGTCACTTGGATTATCAAACCCCTTCTTCTCAAACCTTGAGATTATCTCTTCCACAAGGCCACGCTGAACTCCATCAGGTTTCACCATTTTATATGTCTCATCAACTTGTTCCAATGAAGCAGCCAAGTGGGGAAGAAATTTGCGAGGTTTGGGGAGGGTTTTAGCATGAGGACAAGATGGGAAATATGAGAAAACGGTTATTCTTGTGGTGGGTGTAAGATAAGCTGCAAATTCTCCCAGTCGCTGAGCGTTGAAGGGTGAGGAAACACATGGACTTGCTCCGCCAAACACTGTCAGAGTCTCCATTCTGTCTCTGCTTCTATATCCCTTCTTTTTTATTTTTAAAACTATGTTTTTTAAAATTAGTTTTTTAGTGAACTGATGAAAATACTTAACAGAAATTTTAACGGAATTAGACGTAGGTGGTGGATTGCAACACTCTACAAAGTTCATGTGGTTAAAAATAAAAAATAAAAGTTTAGGTGGTAATGTCGCACATGCCTAAAAGTTGAGGTAGTATTTATGCAAATTTCCCTAAAATAAAATATATTCAAAATAGTCATTTTCCAAATTAGCATAATTGTTACTAGAATTCCCCAAAAAACAAGAGTGCTGCTATACGAACCCTAAATTTAACTGAGTACACCCTATTATCAAACTATTTATTGAATTACAAATTTACCCTAATATAAAATGACCAAAAAGGATATATTGAATTGTGAAACAAAAATAATTTTAATAAGTACACCCTACTCACCATATTCAACCGTAATCAAACGCAAATAAACTTTCGTGTTGCTTGGTGCCAGTAAAAGGATTTGTTAGCTTGTTTCAGCAAAGTGAATCATGGGGGTTATATCTTGTTTCAAGTACCACCTAATGAGCTATATAGATTTTCTCATCGAATTCCTTCGTTCAAGATTACTAGTGCTTAACAATGATGGCCTTCCATGTCCACCTTAAGAATTGTAACTGTATTTTGGTTTGAAGACTGATGCTGGCTTATTGGGGTCACTTCTTTGATTATGTTTCTCTCTAAATCAATTTGGCCCTCTCTTCTTTTCACTGGTTGGAGTTGTAGCCCCATTTTCTTTCCAATTGTTTATATTGCCTTTCCATTTTGGTATTTGCTTATCATCAGATGTATCTCCTCATTGGCTTGCTGCCTTTTATGAAATCACATCTACCTTCGACCAAAAACAAAGAAACAAAAGATGATTGGTGATGAAAGATATGGTGTTCCGCTGAAAATAGAAGTAAGATGATGAAGCTTTGAATTGAGGAGCTAGTAAATCTACAGCAACTTACGAAATTAAAGATTTGATGCAAACTCAAAATTTGAAAAGAGGGCACGAATTCATGTAAAAGAGAAATCTTGTTTAGGATTGGTATTAGGGTGTTGTGTGATAGATTGTATTAGGGTGTATCAGGGATATTTTTTGTAGTTAAATAGGGTGTACTTAGTTAATTTTACATTTTGATTAAAATATTAAGGTGTACTTAGATCATATGGTGTACTCATTTAATTTTAGGGTTCCTTTAGCAGTACTAAAAAACAATAGCCCAATACAAAGGTGGAGGAAAAAGACCTCTGTGGAGTTGAGAAGAAGAAGCCTTGGAACTGGTACAGTCGCTTTAGCAGTACTCAAAAACAATAGCCCAATACAAAGGTGGAGGAAAAAGACCTCTGTGGAGTTGAGAAGAAGAAGCCTTGGAACTGGTACAGTCGATCGATAAGAGTGTTGAGTGTTTTTTTGTTTGGTTAGTCAGCCTAGTGGGGATTAGTTAATAAGATTGGCCTAGGTTAGGGTATTATTTTAGTCTTTAGAAAAACAAGTCTCCTGGGTTGTAGCCCAGGTTAGCTTGTTAGTAGTATCGTCCCTGATTATATATATATTTTTTGGCCTTTTAGATTTGTCGAGAGTCTTCTTATTTATTTTCTTTGTATTTTCCTCTAAAAAATCACTATAGAAACACTATAAAAACGGGAGTTGAACATGGAAGTTACTCACCAACACAAAGGCATTTTAACCATGAAGATGAGGATGGCCTTGATTATTCTTGTGTTGCTTGCAGTGCAAGCGAGTGGGAGAAATGACCCTTCTGACCCTCACTCATCCCTCGACTCATTTGCTACTTATGTTGAACATCCAATGAAAATTGCTCATGCAATTAGTCATGAAGTTGGTGGGATTGGTTCTGCAAGGTATGTTTCATAAGAAACCTTCTCTGGTTAAAACTGCATCTCTTCGATTGCTCGAGCAGCTAGTATCCCTCAAACGCCTGAAAAACCAGTTCGTAAAAAGTGGAGGGAGCATGGAATTGGAGCTCCAGACGTTCCAAAAACAGAAAATATTCCTGATATAACTCCTACTAAAGAACCTTCAATCTACACTGTTAGAGGGGCTCCTGGAGTACCTGGTGGATGGTCTACAAATGATCAAACACTGCATTGGATATTGTAAGAAACCCTCTCTCTCTCTCTCTCTCTCTCTCTCTTCCATTTAAGGAAATCTTTCTTTTGACAGGAAGGCATCAGCTACAACAACTACGTAAAAAGGCATCAGCTGCTTTTACTTATCTTTAATAAAGTTAATATATATTATATATGTACTTCTTGTGACTTCCAAATTTGAGAAAATATTATCTTTGGCATAAGTTTCTGGAAAAACATGAATACATGTGTAAAGGCAATTCTTGGACCTATGCGGTACTAGTAATACACATGTTCTAATATGGTTGAGCACTGAGTTTATATTTTAAATAAAACACGTGTTATAATGTGTAGAGACGGTCACACCAAAAAGAGTCACAAAAAATCTACAAATAGATATACTAATACTTTCTTGGTTGAATTAGGAGGAACCACGATATATGCATACTTGATTTATACAAGCAACATTCGGCATTGAGAATTGGTAATCATCATCAACTAACTTTTGGTTCAGTGATATTTCTCATTATAATATGGAAAAATATTCTGAGTTTGAATCAGGTATGGAGGTAACTTGAAAGGTTTATTTCATTTAAAATTTGACCGTTCACATCATTTTCCAACTATATTTTTTGAGCCCTAACCCAACTACCTGCACCCATCCTACTTCTCATCTAACAAATTGGTTACATAATAGAACAAATGAGAAGGGAAAAACCCAAAATAAATAAACCATAGAAAGACAAGAAAAAAAAAATTGATTCGTTTAACTGTAATTAACCCAGGAACAACAAACCCAACAGGAACTTTAAAAAATTCACCGGAAACTTCGATAGGAAGGGCTGTACATACAGCTTTCAGCATACTTCTCCAGATCCTTCGGTTCAGGGAGGCGAGTAGCCAAACCTACAAAAGCCAATTGAAGAGTGTTAACATTTTGGCCTATTCAGTCACAGGAAATCTTACAAGAGCAGAGCCACTGGAGAAAGCCTAACCAAGTTCATATGATTTAGCAGCTACTTTAGCAGCAATATGTGCCGAAATCTTTCTAATGTTTGTAAATGGAGGGTATATGAGTCCCTTGTCATAGTCTTCCTGGGATACCTGTGAAGCCAAAGCTTCCGCTGTTCCAAGGAACAAACATGGCATCAGATGTAATGGCTGATTATGGACCAAGGACCTGTTCGTTAGTTAATTCTTACTATAAACTAAGAACTTCTGCATACTGTTTATATAATTTGAAAAATGGTTAACTATACTAGTGCCCCAATGTTTTGCGTCTCACTTTGTCCCCCATTGTCAAGTTCGTCAATTAATCTGTCAAAACTGATGACGTGGCTCCTACATGGCCCCAATAATTTTCTGCCACATAGGAGGCACATTAGCGGTTTTAACATAATTTTTTAGGGACTTGATAGTAGGCGGAACAACGAGACGCCAAACACCCAAGGGGTCAAGGTACATCATTGTGATATTTATGGGCAATGTAGTATCTCACCATACTTTCAGGGGCACTAGTGATTAATCCTTTTTTTAAAAATCCTTTAATTTCATGTCTTTTGTGCACTTACAGGCTGCCAGAAGCATGTCGTCGTGAACACGGATAGTACCAGACATTATTAAACCCAGACCAAATCCAGGGAAGATGTATGCATTGTTTGCCTGAATGAATATGGAAAGTAAATGTCAAAGTCTTATATAAGTTAACTTGGGACATCGTCAGATTCTCTAGCATTAATACCTGGCCAGGAGTGTAAACCTTCCCCTCATATTCAACAGGCGGGAATGGGCTTCCACTACAATAAATAGCACGACCCTGAAAATAATGATAGTGGAATAAGAACCACAAAAAAATAATAATTCATTCTCTAATCATCCAGTACACAGTGAATGAAACAATTTAAAGCAAAAGATGCAAGGTTGTATTACCTGAGTCCATGTGTATGCTTCTTCCGCAGTACATTCAGATTGTGATGTTGGGTTGGAAAGAGCAAGGATAATAGGTCTCTATTAGCAGGTCACACACAAAAATGGTCAGCCCTTACCTTCAAGAGGGTGTATATGCAATTTTTCAACGAGGCCATTGAATAACGTGAAGTTTCTCAATAAGGCCATAAAAAAAATGCAATTTCTCAAGTACATAACAGAGGAAAATTCTGAAATGATGGGCCCTGTATGGATGTTTGACATGCTTAAGATGTAAAATCTCAAGTCTTGCCCACACAAAAGCAAAAAGTGTTATGAGTGCATGGGCATTTACACTCAATAGGGATGCTGCGCCCACATGATAGAACAGCCTAATAACAAATATAGGGAATAGAGTACCTCATTGAGGGAGGCCATAGACTCAACCACTTCTTTGGTGAATGTTCTTCCTGCTCCTGACGTTCCAATTAACACTGTAGGTTTGATTGCCTGATTAAAAAGGACAACAAAGTATAGTGACTAAGAAACTTCTGCTCTATATGCACTATAATGTTGACTCTATGGTGTCAAACATATGAGCATCACTGTGTGTGTGTGGGGGAGAGAGAGAGAGATTTCACACATTAACAGCATCTACAAGTTCCTTGACTGGTTCATGTTCATGAGCCCACGGCTTTTTAAAATGTTGGAGTGATTCCTTCCTAGAACTGACAATCAATCCCTGCAAATAAATTTCTTACCAAATGAAAACTGATGGAAAGATAACAAAATTCTCCTTCAGATAGAAAGAAATTACATCTGCTCTCCTACCTTTGAGTCCACAAGCCAAATGTTCTTTCGGGTCTCTTCCACTGGGATATTTGTCTGCAATAATTTGGGTGCAATTTTTGTATGTATCAAGATTTATTCTAATACCACTCTTTATAATAAATAATTACTGAGGATCTTTTTTGTTTTCTCTTGGGTAAGATACCAAGGATCTTTTATTGTACAAGTTAAATCAAACAAATAGTAAGCTAAAAACCTGTTTGGAAACTTCAAGCGCTATCAGTTCTGCTATGCCAGTGCCGGCCTGAAACCATTAAACAAGTGAGAATGTGAGACACAACACAACAACAAAGTGCTAGCACAGGGGACATCAGTTAGGGTTAGAGGACAGGGAAGAGAATTCCTATGGAAAATAGAAGAGGTGCATTTTGGATGAGGGAACTACTAAGTCCCAAGAATTTACGATTTTCAACTTCACCAATCACAAAGAATATACACAGAATTACCCCTTTTTTTATTACTCTTTGAAAGTAATTAAAAGTATCCTCAACTAAGGGAACGTACTCACCTCTCCAGCACCAAGGAATAAAAATCTGTGGTCAGCTAATGATCCCCCAACTAACTTCAAAGCTGCAACAAGTCCTGCAAGAACCACAGATGCTGTCCCCTGGAATAAATTAATTACACAAACATTAGAGATGCGCTTTTTCTGAATTACTACAAATATCAACAATCCCCAGCAACTTACCTGAATGTCATCATTAAAAACAAGATGAGTTGTACCATACTTTGACAGCAGATCAAAAGCATTGTGGTTCGCAAAGTCTTCAAACTACAGAGAATGACATATGTAATTAGGAACGCTAAATTTAAAATGAAATAAATGGCTAAGTTCGGCAGTGCAGCCAAATAATTGAAGACTAAATTTGTCCACCACCAAATACCTGAACGAGAATTTTCTCCCCATAATTCTGCTTGACTGCAGTCATGAATTCCTGTAGAAGTTCTGCATATTCCTAAGGAAAAGATGAGCAAACCCACTTTGGTAAGACAGAAAACAACATAATGGGCTGAAATCATTTGAACACCAAACAAGTAAAGCAAACATATCATAAACCTGTCCAGTAGCCCTCTTTTGCCTGAGTCCAATGTAGAACTCATCGTCCAATAGCTTCTGATTGTTTGTACCAACATCAATGGTTACAGGCAAGCACTGAAAAAAAATGACAAAATAAAACAACATATTCAATAAGAATAGATAACAAAGATAAATGATGAATTCGTTATGACTTCTAAACACAAGTCATGTCAGAAAATAATAGAATTTGTCATGTGGATACTTACAGCAGAAGGACGAACTCCTCCAAGTGCAGTATATAGAGCAAGTTTACCCACAGGTATACCCATCCCCTGAGAAAATATCATATATTGATATCAATTAACCATTTAGAAGGGGGTACAACAAGTACATGAAATATTCTCCTTTCAGGCAAGGTATCTCATATAGGTTTTTATCAATACAACTAGAAAACAGATTTTAATAGTGTTTACATGACAGCCAAGATCCCCCAGCCCAAGGATCCGCTCTCCATCAGTGACAACAATGACTTGAATATTCTTCTCAGGCCAGTTCCTCAACACTTCAAGAATCTTGCCCCTTGGAGATGCCAAGAAGAAAAAAAATATATCAGTCAGCTTCAACACAATTTGGAAGTGGCCATTAAAGTAGAGATCTAAAAGAAATTTTCATTAAACTTACTTGTCTTTCAAACTTATGAAAAGACCGTGTGGGTGCGTAAATATGCTTCCATATTTCTGGCAAGCTTCACCGACAGTAGGAGTATATACAACTGGGAGTAATTCCTCGACATGGTCAATAAGAAGCTTGTAGAATAGCTTTTCATTTCTCCCCTGAAATCATAACAATGCATAATTGAAACTTTAAACTTGCCATTTCAATATCAACAAATTAGGGCCTCAAACCAAAATTTCAGTGAAATGATGATGGCTACCTGAAGATCCATCATGGCTATATACTTCTGCAGAGGAACTAGATACTGGCGGATACAATTTATCATTTTCTTCACCTGTCAAGTAGATTTGCGGCAAAGTGTAATTGATTTATATATATTTAAAAATATGCATAACAAATGATGCAACTTTGTGAGCATATAAAAGATCATTGACAAACCTGAAGTTCTTGAGAAATAACAACAGGGGGGAGAAGACCACGCAAGTAATGAGCATCTCTCTCTTTCTCTGTGAAGGCAAGACCTTTGTTGTGGTGTGGATCCCGTATCAACGTATATCCACTGCAAAGCAAGACAAAAGAATAATGTATAAAAAAGGTGCCAAGAACATAAAATAGAAAAAGAGAACTTCTGTCCATTTATTTCAAATAAATGAAAACTGATAACACTGCAAACATATCAGAACGCTGAGCTGAACCAGAAAAGACGTATCAGTCTGTGAAGTAAGAACAGTATATGAGAATATTACAGTAACTTAACAAAGTAAATATTCAAGGTAGTTGGTGTCCCTATTAGCCACATGCAATCGAACAAATTCAAGGGTATCTCAGTCTTTTACACCGACCCAAATGCAACTTAGCCAAAATGTTGACCAGGAAGCAAAAATAAGACAGAATTACATATTGAGGTTGGGAATGAAATTGCATAAATTAAACTGTTTTCTTTCACTTATTTGAAAGAAACCCAAAGGGGAAATTCATGCAACTTAAACTCCCGAACAAAAACACATGTCCTTTTCACCAGAAAATTATTCAACAATTCATACTGAAAGATGTGGAGCTTCTATTATCATGCCACATGTAACGCATGGGCCCGCCCCTTTAATCATTTTGGTGGTTTCTTAAAAATTCTTCTTAACACTTTTGTTGCTATTTGTAGTATTCCTTTGTTATACATGTGCCTAGTCTGAAACCCAGAGTGCATTTACCTAGCAAAAGAACTGAATCAAAAGAATTTATTTGTACATAAAAAATTGTACCAAGAACCCACAAAAGAAATTGATCCATTTCTTTCCTTACAGAACGCCCAATACTGATTCTCTATCCCAGAATGCTTGACCATAAAAGGAACCAATTAGCTTATTTATCATATACATATGCTTAAAGAGTATTTGATATTTCTTAGAAAATTATTTGTAACTTCATTAGTAATTATAAGCATAACTATGTAGCGATTCTCATCAAGGTGTCTGTTGGATACTTACAAAACTTCATTCATATTGAATATATGAAAAATATATAACGAATGGAAATTCACTAATTAAGCAACTACCCAAAAAAATCAGTATGCAGCCCACAATATGTACAATTTTCACTTAAAAAACATCAATTAGGTGACTTGCTCAAAAATGAAAAGGCAAAAGAATATAGATTTCATCGAAATTAAAATAATCTGCAAAAGAATCATAGCACCTGTAACATTATTAAATAATGATATTATCAAATAACAATCGTAAGCATATTGATCTTTGCTCCCACCTAGCAACAGAGACACTCCAGGGTGTGACAAGTTGGTCCTCGGTGGCAGTATCCTCACCATACACGTCTTGGACCCCACCATGGACGGTGGATTTCAGCTCAACAACCGAGGATTCGTCCTTCACTTCCTGCAATGTGCTTTCCATCACTACGCTGCCGTTTCGGTCACCAGTACGGACTTTAGGGACCAAAGCCACCACTTTCAGCGAAGCTGAGCGCCTCTTCTGGCTATGAGAGAACGGGCTAGAAGACCCAGCGATGGCCGGGTTTCCCTGTACAAAAATACAATAATAAAAAAGCTAACCTAATAATCAGCCAAAAAAAATTAAAACTAAAGATTAAAAATTTTGTGATAATGGAGAAGACGCAGAAATTAAAATCTCCTTCAACGACTTTGAATTGCTTTATACCAAGTAATTGGCAATCAGAAAGCCGGAAAGATTTGAAATTTCAGTGGGCTTCAATGTGGGAAAACACAACATGAATTGAAAAAGCTTTCTTTTTTTGTTCTTCTTGAATTTCCAAGAAGGTTGTGTGATTGAATTTTGTGAAATGGGTGCGCTTGAAATTTTAATCTGAGAAATGGGTTTGATTTATATTACCAGGAAACAGCTTCTATTCAACGACATCATGGCGACTGATATGTGAAAGAGAGAGTCTTTCGCTTTTGGTACCACTGCAGAGGCAGAAAGACAGAGAAATAGGGAGAGTGCAAGTGAGAGAGAGGACAGAGAGTCTTAGAGCTTTGAGAAGCTCTCCTTGCTTTTCTCCTTCTCTCTGTCTCTCTCTCTACCTGAAATCTGTGAAACCACAGAGACAGATCAAGAAATGGGAAATGAAGCAGCTCAAAAATGTGGCTCCTTCTTCTCCCTTGGGTTAATTGTATGCAACTAATTTGTCTCCAAATTTACCAAAGTACCCTTGCACTTTTATTTCTTTAAATTTAATTTTACTTGGGTATATTGCACACACAGTTAGGTGGGACCAAAGGAGGCTGTGGCCTGATCTAAATTATGGTTGTGATCTCACCATAGAATTTATAATCGGATATTGACAAGGCAGTGTGACAGCATCCAAGGGGCTGGATTGCATATGAAAAGACAGTGGGCTCAATGAAGGGTAAGATAGTGAAAGGAGAAAAGGTATGATATAAAGCGGCCCACAATAAGATACATGGGGTCTTGTACATGGGACATTGACATAACCGTAGGTTTAGTTTTATTTTTTCTTTGAGATGTGCCTTGGAATTTGTCTTCATTGTAAACTTCACATAGAACTCTCAATCGGGTGATTTCATGGCTGAAATGCAGAGGCAATGGCCTGGCCTTCCCTTTCAAAAGTGGTGTGCAATAAAGAAATTTGCCCAAGATTGTTGGGATAATCCAACTCTTTGATTCCCCTTGTCTTTGTGTGGATTTTTTTATATATGTAGTCCACTTTTATAATATTTTATATGCATTACATCAAAATTTGTGGATTCTTTCGGTTTAATTTGGAATGTGAGATTCAAAAACTACAGATTTTAGTTTTAAAAATGTTTAATTTTTTTTTATAAAAAAAATAAAAATACAAGCTATAGTCTAAACTATAAGGGTGAGGGGGATTTATCACACATACACTACCAAGGTATTATATGGGTTTGAACATGAGATCAATTGTATGCAAGTGAAGGCCATTTTTCATTTGTCTAGTTAAACTTCATTAGAACATTAATGATACATAAAAGTTCGTATTTATATGAAAAACAAGGAGAGACTCAAATAGCCTTGCTTGTCTTGAATATGGCAAGCCAAGCCACGGTATGCCATGGCAGCACAAGCCTATGCACTTTCTCAGAATGCCTTGAATGGGGCGCAATGCAATGCCAAGGTCAAGGGAAAGTCTTGCCAATGTCTTGGGCATGTCTAGGCCAGATCTTGGGCACGTCTAGGCCACAGAAAGGCAAGACAAGGCAAGTCACGCTATCCCAAAGCAAAGCACTTCAAATAATTCATTACATATAATAATTTTAAGTTTTTAGAATTACATTGTATCTAGTCATCTAAAATTAAATTCAAATAAATCGTATCTAGTATTCAAATCATCTTTCTTGAAATGCGATAACCATCTAAAATGGTGTTACATCTAGATCAAAGAGCAAAATGCTAAAATTGATATGCATGCCAATTAACAAACTAATATAAGCAAAAACGTGTCAAGTTAGAAAATGTAATTAAGAAAGAAAGGTCGGGTTATATATATGGGTAGGTAAGCATGCCGGGTTAATGGGTAGGTAAGGTGGGCGTTCCGTGACCAATGGTGGGGCTAATAACTGGTGGGCAGAGAATGGCAGCATTGTCTCTCAGCCAAATAAAAAAATAAAAAAACAAACAAAAGAACAAGATAACTATCAAAGTGAGAGGCTCCAAGGGAAGCGATCAATCAGGAAATGCATCTCCGGTTTTAAGCAATATTTGCGAACCTTTTGTTATTGACACGTGTGTACATTAAATTCGTGTAGCTAATATGTGATACGAAAGATATGCAAAAGAGATCAACGGAAAAAAACAAAGAGAGATTTGACCAGAACGTAGTCTCAGTACGTAATCAACGCGCCTGCGTTGGTCACCGTGAATTCTTAATAAAAGTGAATCGCGTAATGCGTTAACGATATAATATTAACTCGAACACGTATGACAATTAATGTTATCGTAACTTTTACCCTCCTTTTGGATGTAGGAATTGAAAATTATATAGAATTCTAAAATGACAGAATTTAGATTTTCATCATTTTACTTTATGGTAATTGAAGACTTCAGTGTTTATATTTATGTCCGTCGAATTTTATAAACGACAGAATTTTATAAATGACACTATAGAAATTGTGAAATGAAGCATATTTTGGTGGAAATTAAACTCGGGAATTTGATGACCCAATTTGCAAATGAGTGCTGCTATTTCCACCCCCATGTCCTATTTTCCCACCCACCCACCCTATTTTCCCACCCACCATATAAATTTGAAAAAACACAATCTTATCTTTCCACCCACCATTATTCCTAAAATACCCATTATCTTTCCACCCATCAAGTAAATAATAATATATTAATATATTAATTAATTAACAATATAAAATACTCAAAAAAAAAAAATATTTCTCTCTATATATATATATATATATATATATATATATATATATATATATATATATATATATATATATATATATATATATATATATATATATATATATATATATATATATATATATATATATCTCTCTCTCTCTCTCTCTCTCACAGTTGAGAGGTGCAGACTTTGAGAGCCTAGAATTGCTAGGCTGATTCAAATCTTAGTTAAAGTCCCTTCATTTTATTAATACTGAAAATTTGGGGGTGGATCTGCTTGGTATCTTTTAATTGTGGGGTGGTGACTATTAAAGAAACAAAGAGGGAAAATAGAGAATAAGGAGGGGTGTGCCGGTGGAGGCGAAGAGACAGATGATAGGATGAGGTGGAGTTAATCTTTTTAGTTTTTTTTACTCTTTTTTTAAATTGATTTTAATGTTTTTGTCCTAAGTCCTTAAAAGTCATTTTATAAAGGGATAAATTTGTCTTTAAAATTTTGAAAATAAAGTGGGTGGGAAAATATGACAGGTGGGTGGAAATAGCAACACTCTTTGCAAATGCACATCATTTAATAAATTTCGTGCTTAAGTTGCCAAATAAGGGAATTGTCAATTTCTCCTCTTAAATTCCCGACTTTTAATTAAATTCTGAGTTATTTTCTCTCATACAAACAGAGGATTAAGAAATTAGTCATATTATCCTAATTAACACCATTGACATGTATGTTATAACGTTGAAACTTTGATGGAACATGCTCTAATTGATTTGAGGGTATTTTTATGCCCTAATTAATCCCATGGTGCAATATGAACCAATTTGCGTCTTGAGATTGTTAAACCTCTTCTTTACATAGAATAGACTCTGCATTTATTTTAAAAAAATTATATTATATATAATATATTTTCTATAAACAAAATGCCACTAGTCGCACAAAGCCAACACGTTATTTGTTCATTAAAAAAGAAAAAAAATAAAATAAAATAAAGGGGTCTCCATTTGATTAAGCATGTGAAACATGTTGGGGTACCGATTTGGAACCACCAAAACCAAACCCCACTTGGATGTAAACTTATAAATTACACATAAAAAAGTCCACATTGTGATAATGAGATGCTGCATTATCATTTATTTCCAAATAGTTAAATTACTATATAAATAGATATAACCATGGTATTTATTTTACTTTCTTTTTTATTGGACAATTTAAGCGGACCTATTAGAACAAGGCAATTAGGTGGGAGGGTATACGACCAGAACGGGAGGCGTTTATGATGAAAAAGTCAATGACCAAATTAAGCCAATGACAGGAAAAGTTAGGGAGAGAGAGAGAGAGAGAGAGAGAGAGTTCAACTGCTTAAGTCGGCCTTTAAAAGGAGATGATTTGATGTGAAGTGCTGATCAATGTTTGGATTATTGTCATTTTCAAACAGCTGAGTTGTGAACTTGTGCGACGGTAATGTTCCATGTATCAACATCTTCCTCCAAACTAGAATGTCTATCAATTGTAAAGTCTTCTAAGAAAAACAAGTGTTTATAATCCTCCCAAAAAAGGTATGGAGTGTAAATAAACTATGTGCTTTCCTCTTTTTCGTTTTCTTTTTTGGGGTAAGTTTTTCTTATATTAGTCTATATATGGACAATGTTATCAATGATTATTTCTGGTATGAGTTCTTTTAAAGGGGAACATATTTGCAGACCAGGGTTAGCAGTTAGTCACAGCTTGTAACGACATCATTTTGGCCAAATCAGTGAAAAAAAAGTAGCACAAGACATGAATTACTTGGTGCGTTTCAGTGATGAATTTTGTTGAGCAGGTGGGTGAGTACTCTTGCCCAACCACCTAAACTTCTGAGGGCTAACAATTTCTTCTCTTATGGTGTTTTCCGGGCTTTCGGAAGTCAAGTGTCTTTGTTTAATAAAAAAAAATCCAAACATCCTTCGTAATGCAATTCAATTATCAAGTCTATACTTTAGGTTGTCCTTCAAGGGCCATCCATGCACAAAATCATTTAGATTAAAATCTACTTGATCCTTTAAAATGTCACCCAAAAAAAAAACACATTTCATTAGATTAAAATAAAATAAAATGGTAATACTCAGATTTTCCTATTTAACCATTTCATTACATGGATGATCCTCGAAAAAGAACCTAAAAACTAAACAGATTTAATCATTGGATTACAATCCATAAATAGGATGTGTGTATATATATATGTTAAGTCTAAAAGTGGATGTCGAAACGGTTTTTAATTTATCTAATTTTTTACAAGGATGATCTATGAATATAGACTTAAAAATAGATGGTTTAGATCGTTGAAAAAAAAATCGAAGGAAACCCTAAAAGTGTGTCCCTCAAATAAAATTATTTGAAGGATCCCTTAACAGAAGGGACTATATAAAAGAGCATCTCCAACCGATATGTCAAAAGTGCCACATAGACATTTAACAGCTATAAATAACATCTCACCTCACTCCAACCGAATTGTCAAAGCTGATGTGGAATGAAGGCTGGAGGTTCAGCTGTTATTTTTGATATCCCAAAAGCAAGATGTCAAATGAATATTTTATTATTTTTTCTTTTATATTCTTTTTAATTAAAAATAAATCAACACTAAAATGTAATAAAATAATAATTTAAGCAAGATGTCAAATTGCCACATCAGCCATCAAATTTAAATTTGATGTTTGGTATTTGACATCTCCCTTGGAGATGCTCTAAGATGTCAAATTGCCACATTAGCCATCAAAATTAAATTTGAT